CAGAGGCCTCTCTTGCTCCAGTGACTATAGAACGTAAAGTTAGAACTGATTTGGAAACTTCTATTCCTAAGCCATGTAAGTTTGCTTCTTCTTTTTTTACTTTTTGGTTTTCTATATATGTATATGAATCTAATATCTTTTACTTCAATTCTAGTTGAAAACTTGATTTGATTGGAGAACTTAAAACAAAAAAAAGTAGTCCAGTGCACAATGCTTCCTGCACGGGCGTAAGAGCATTCAGCCCTACGCCAAAGGCCTGTAATGTAGAAAGCCTATTCTAATGTAAGGATTAGTTGGTTGCTTTCAGGGGTTGTCCTAGGGAGACATGGCGACAACTTTACCATTGCTTTCATATTTAGTTTTTTTCTTTAATTCTGTATAGCTCAACTGTTGTTATATTTGCGTGTTTGTAGTACTATTTCTGCTTATCGAGCTTACTGATCTATAATAAGGTGGTTAATGACTCTTTAGTTATAAAGTTTAACTTTAATTTTCTACGCTGACAGCGAAAGATTACCAATAATAAGTGGAACGAGTAATCTGTAAAAGGAAAAAAGGACAGATAAGCTTGTACAATAGTTGAATTGCACTAAAACATCCTCTTCTTTTGAAGATAGACCGGAAAGCAAGCTTAGAGAATAGTTAAATGCCAATGTTGGAAAGTGTAGAATTGGGAAAAAAAATGTAGTTGTGTGAAGGTATTTGTTGATCTAAATGTAAGTAATTACAGCAGTTTAGATCAATAGTAGTGTTGATTGCAGTAGCAAATAAGACTTCTTGGATTAGTCCTAGCACATTGTGTGTATGTTTCCTATTGAAAGTGGATAAATTTGCAAGTTATGTTTCAGGTCTTGAACATTTCATGAAGATCTTATTTGGTTGGTTGTCGACTGTTATTAGTTCGCATCTAAACTTGCGTGTTTCTTTATATTGAGTAAATTTTAGTTAATATGGGCATCAGCCTTTATAGCTGCTGGTAATGCGCGTGACTAGTAATGTAGAATGAAAAGTAGGCTGAATGGTACTCCCTTCGCCCCAATTTATGTGAGAATGTGTTTGACCGGGCACGGAGTTCAAGAAATAAAGGAAGACTTTTGAAACTTCTGGTCTAAAATAAACCACAGATTGTGTGGCTACAAATTATCTGATTAAGTTTAAATAGGAAATTTAAAGTAGAATTGTTACCAAATATAGAAAGGTGTATTCTTTTTGAGATTGACTAAAAAGGAAAATGTGTCACATAAATTGCGATGGAAGGAATAGTACATTAGGCAGAAGGGTAGTGAGTTTTAATGCAAAGCAGGTTATCTATGTGTTTAGAAGGTATCTTGTACTGAATTCTATTAGTGTGTGCATCATCTTCCCTTGAACCAAGACTTCTGAAAATTAAGCACATGAATTTTGTGGTTGAAAATATTAAGGTGATGGTTGAAAAATCTTAAGCTAAACTGCCAACCTTTTCTCTTTCTTTCAGAAAAAGTGTAAAAAACATTGAGTAGTTTAATGAATTTGAAGTCTTGAAAGTTCTCTAAGTTGTATACAAATGCAATGCTGCTACTCCAGGGAGGTCGAGCAAGGTGAAATAAAGTGAAAAAAGAAGATGGTATCTGAACCAGGTCGGCGATGATGACCCGTCGTCTTGGTCTCTAGTCAAAGGCACCTTAGAACAATAAATAAGATGGAGAAGAAGGGTGATACAATAGGATGTTTTAAAGCGGGCGGTTATTTCTTTCTTACTTTTATCATTTGGAGTTCAATTTATCCTTCGGCAAAGTTCTCTGACGGGAGTTATCTTAAAGAGTGTCATATAGGTCACCCAAAAAAGTGTCATATAATTTAGGCGGATGTAGTAGCTGAAAAAATAAAAATGGCAGTAGATTATGTATAAATGGATGACACAATAAATTGGATTAGTTCAAGTGCCTGTATACATTCCATTGGTTCTACTACCAATGAGAATCTGACTTCACGAGGAATATTTGAAGATTAGCTATGATTAGAAATCGACTTTGTGTCCCTGTATAGTTTATTCAGAGTCGAATTATGGCAGCTGATCAACCTAAAGATATTAACTATAACAAGCGTGTTGTTCATGAAGATAACTGCACATTCATTGAGAGTGTTTTATCTGTGAAGTCGAATGAATTGTTGTGGTATAGCCTCAGTATTTAAGTGTTGATGCTCAAATTTGTGGCTTCTTGTGCAGTTATCACTTGGTGGTTCATTATTAATTGAATGGATGCAAGTTTTGCTAGTGTTTGTTGTCCTTTTTTTTTTTTTTTTTTTTTTTTTTTTTTTGTAATTTGTACAATAGTGGCCTTCTTACGACACTTAAAATATTCAGATATGGCTAGAGGATTGGTTGCTCCTGATATGGAGCATCCCAACGGAACTCCTGGCCACAGGCACAACGGCATGAGTGTTCTTCAGCAGCATGCAGCCTTCTTCGACCAGGATGATGATGGCATCATTTATCCATGGGAAACGTACATCGGTAAATTATCATTATAGTCTGTAATAAGGCAGAATAATTTCCAAGAGGGTAGTTTGGCTTAATGGCATGATACAATTTTGTTTTGAAGTATAATTTCGGTCACTTTGTTTGCATCAAGATTTTAATATCGATCAGAACCATTAGCTCGTATAACCTTGTCAATGTTTGATTTTTCTTATCCTTTCTACTCGCTTTGAACAGGATTTCGTCAACTTGGTTTCAACATGATTGGTTCGTTTATAATGGCCATTGTCATCCATTCTGCTATGAGTTATCCTACTCTCCCGGTAAGTCAAAGAAGAGTTACTTAATACTTGTAGTCATAACAAATGAAAATCAGAACTATGCTTGGTTGTTTACCTACTCTGCTAGTGGTCGGTTTTATGTTTTCTCTCTGTTAATAACGCACTGTAACCAGGGGTGGTTTCCGTCGCCTTTACTTCCAATATATATTCATAATATACACAAGTGCAAGCATGGAAGTGATTCCGGGACCTATGACAGAGAAGGCAGGCAAGTATACTAGTCATCAATCTGAAATCATATTACGAACTTCATGAACTTGTACTCATTCTGCGGTTTTCCCCTTAGATATCTTCCTGTGAACTTTGAAAACATCTTTAGCAAGTACGCTCGGACCGTGCCGGATAAGCTTACTCTTGGAGAATTGTGGGATATGACTCAGGCTAATAGAGAAGTATTTGATTTCTTTGGCTGGTAAGGTTCCAAACACATACTTTCTCCATTTTGTTTCTTTATGTTTGTGTATATGTAGTTGCTTTAACCATTTGATCATCTTTTGCTTCAATTTGAAGGATTGCCACCAAAATGGAGTGGGGAATTTTGTACCTCCTTGCTAAAGATGAAGATGGTTTCTTATCCAAAGAAGCAATAAGACGCTGCTTCGATGGGAGTTTGTTCGACTATTGCGCCAAGGTACAAACGGGAGGTGATTACGCGAAGAAAGAATAGGTTCGATTGCATATGTAGACGTAGTAAGCTGGGAAATAGTCTTGAAACTCTTATTTTGGCATACGATGTTTAATCGTTTTCCTTCGTTAAGCAACTCTGCAATGTATCCAGAATTATATTGCACAACTGTTTAAACTCCAGTTTGATAGATTGGAGATACCCCTAGAATTAAAAGGAGACATTTGTGATTGTTTCTTTCTTGAATTTTGAAAACTTTTGCTATTATCACATGCAATAGGTAGAGTTTCTTGTAATGTATTTGTTTGCTTTTAAGTTTCTGACTATCAATTGTGCATATATGTGTTGAGATATACTAAAAAGACTTGCAGAAACTAAGCAGGAAAGTATAGTTTGAAGAAAGACTTCCAAATATACAATGAGTTGCTTCTATGATCTATAGTTCTTGTTGTGATTACAAATAGTACATTGTATATGTAAAATATATGATTTGATAACTTGGAAAAACTAGGAGAGTGTTTGGCCAAGCTTATAAGCTGGTCAAGCTGGCTTATAAGCATCTTTTGGCTTATTTACGCGTTTGGTAAAATACTCAAAGTGCTAATAAGCCAAGTGCTTATAAGCTAAAATAAGCTATAAGTTGGTCATTCTCAACTTATGCTTTTTAGCGTATAAGCACTTTTAGTTTAACCAAGGTTTTTACTAGTTTATCCTTAATAATGTTTTCTAATTCACAAAATATTTTTTCCAAAGTAAATTTTCTAACTTTCTTTTTATTCCATATTCGTTGTTCATCTGTTTTACAAAAAAAAAATTAATTTATAATTTTTAGTAAAGTTTTTAAGGATATTTTAGTCATTTTAATAAAAGAATAACTTGTCATCACTTTTCTACTAAACACATCAATTGCTTATTATCAGTTTTAGCACGGCTAAAGTTTACTTTTTAGCACTTTAAGCTTATTAGTTATTTACAATCAGCTAATCCAAGCGGGTTCTAGGTAACTTATCACAACTTGTTAAGGTATTGTAAAAATGTGAAGTATTATTATACCTAGTCTCAAATTAACATGACAGTCAATTTGATAATTTTTGAATTTAAATTAGATTAAATCAACTTAATAATTTAAAATATTTTAAAATTAAAAATTTAAATATTTAAAAATGATCAACATAATACTTTAAAATATTTAAAATTAAATACTTTAATATTCAAAAATTATCCGAAAGTATTATAAGTTTGTAATTTTTTATTTTAGTATAATAAAAACAATATTTTAAAATATTGGTGAAAGTTCATACACTTTGACAAAAGAGTGAATAGTTAAATCTATCGAGGAGGAGAATTATCTTTATTTTCTGTCCGTCTCCATTCTTAAATGTGCACATGCACCTTAAGGGTGGGTAGTGGTTGACGATTGCCAGGTCCAATAATTGCCACAAAGAATGGACAAATCAATCTTGAAATTCACTTATTTAGTGCGAAATGAACAACAAAATCATCAAGTTGCTTGAGAAATTATTTCCTTCAATAAACCACATCACAAAAAAAAAAAAAAAAAAAAAAAAAAAATACAGATCACATCAATAAGTTATGCTTTTTCCTCACAAAGTCATGACAAATTCACAAGTAAAAGAAACAAATTATGATCCAAATCAAGCAACATAATATAATGGATTTGGTAGTTTGAATGTTCTTTTTGCACTTGGAAGTCCCTCAATGCTACTCCATTGATCTCCAACAATTCCCAAAATTCTATAGCCTTTGCTTATTAGTTTACTCCTTACCTCTGCCTTGAATCCTTGAGCACTTTTGCATTCATCTTCTTGACCTCTAAAATATTCAATAACCAAAAAAACACATTAGAAAAAAAGGGGCAATCGGATGCACAAAACATTCGCATTCACGCAGAACTCGGAAAGTGCCGCACCCTAAGAGGTGTGACGTAGATAATCTAATATAATGCAAGCATTAGTGGCTGCTTCCACGATTCAAAAAACACATTAAAAATAAGTAAAAATCTCTTAAATTATATATAACAACAAACCAAATAAATTGATAACAAAAATTTCAAACCTTAGTATGAGGCTAGTCCATCCATAGAAACCAACATGGACAAGATTGTCAATGGTAGGAGATCTAAGATGTTCTTTTCTTGAAGAAACAAGAAAGATCTTAACTCCTAGTTCTTTAAGATGATTGAACAACTTCATGGAATGATCTAATGCTGTTCCTTTTCCTTGGCTTATCCAATCTTCCAAAGATGTCACATTCAACTTATTTCCCCTATTCCACCAAAGAAAA